ACTCTGGACTGTTTTACCAATATTTATGAACTACCAAATCAACTGGATAAAGTTCACGTGATACACAATCAACTGGGATCTTCTTTCCATGAACGTGATTCTGGTTTTCAGCTGGAACAGTAGACTGAATTTCTGAAACTCTGTTTGTCTGTGGCTGGAAATCTTTGCCATATGTTAGGTTCAAACATTAGCCAGGATAATATAATACTTGAATTTCTCCATGCATGTATAAAATGAAAGTTCCACTTCCAATTATTTGTATTAAATGTGTTAACAAAACAGCAGCACACAGTTCCAATCATAGAGTTGGAATCAGTTTAATGAAAGCCCTTTGAATTTTTGCTACTTAGAGTTTCACTCAAATGGATGAGTTATTAGATGATCTAACAGAGATGACTGTACCATAACCTTTCTTCAATGTATCACAGAATTCATGTAGTTGAACTTTCAAACATGTGGATAAAAGAACTTTTTTAGGAATGCAAATATAAGTGTTGAATTTCTTTACGCATAGTCTTTCACATCTTCCCAATTTCTTCTGGAACTGAATCGTCCCAGGCAAAAATTTTTAATTCTTGAAGAAGAATCTTTGTTGATATGACAGAAGATTCAATCCAACTCAAGGGATTGAATAATTTTGCTATCAATGATAATATAGAACATTCTTTTTCAAATATCTTGAAAATTTAACATCACAGAATTACAGAAAAATTCATCTTTATTAGTATCTTATTGAAGACCAAGAAATTTTTTAGCTTTTTTCCACAATTATACGAGATTTATCATTAGTTAGACCCTTTATGTTTGCATTTCCTAGCACTGACTTTTCACTGTTGACTCTTTTGTAGTAGGGTCCAAACCTACTTTTTCTAAGCATTTGGTTCATTTCAGCTATCAGCTGAGTACCTTCTTGAACATTATCAACACCATTCAACACATCCTTTTCATAAAAATTCCCTTACCATTATATCAGCAGTTTTAGAAAAATTCTTTCTTTCATAAACTGCTTCCACACTGCCAGCACCAAGTATGACTCAGAAGCAATTCCTTACATAACAGTATTCAACTAAAAAACTTGCACGTGTTGCTTTGAATTAGCTCTCTGATATATTTTTGTGAAATTCCATATGTTTAGGCTCAATTGTAACTTGTCTGTACATTTTTTCAATATCAGCAGTTATTGCAATACTATGAAATCTAAATTTCAAAAGAATATTAATGAGATCTTGGGTTTTTGGATCAGTCATTAAAGTATCATTGGGAGAAATACCTGTTGATGATTTTGCACTTGGATCAAACACTCAGTTTTGTTGTTAAGCTTGACATCATTTAAAATAAAATGATTGAAATATATAAAAACTTCCATTTTCCAAATTACAATCCACTGATGAAATTAATTTCATATGACCCAACAATAAATATTCTTGCAAGAAGTTTCTGTACTGACTAATGAACCTCACATAACTTTTCTCCTGTTGCAAGAGGCTGCAAATCTGGGATACTTTCTAAATTCCAAAATGACTTAAATAATTCTTCAGTATTTACATGATTTACCAATGCTGGATAAGTCTAGGATTCTTTACTACGCTTTGTAATATTTCTATCTATTAACTTTAAAACACATTTGAACCTAATAAAATGTCAATTTTGCTTGATTTATAAAATGTTGGATCAGCTAAAATAAAATCACTAAAATTACTACAAATATTTTCTAGTAAAGACATAAAAGAGAGGTTATCACTAATATTTTCTATTATGTAAGCAGTAGTGGAAACTCTCAATTCAGTACTGAAATGAGAAATAAACAATAAATCTATTTCTTCTACTCACAGTGCTAAACGTGCCTCACACAAAATTGAAACTGAACTATCTTTCATGTTCAAACCTTATTTTTTCCATGCACTCCGTAATAATAAATTACATTTGACTTCCAGTATCCAGCAAACATATGTATTTGTTTTGTTTTATGAACTTTACTCATTGTAAAGCAGAGTAACATCTATACTGTGTTTAGTATTCAAGGTGCTAACACAGACAATGGTAAATTTTGGCAATTCTTTTGAATCTAATAAATAGGTTGGCTTATGGAGAAGGAACAGATTTATGGTCTGGCCTTTGTAACTTCTATATATGTTGTACACTGTCATGAGGTTTCCCACAATACTTACATTTGTATACACTTTTACAATGTTTATACTTATGTATTTTGTAAATAATTGAAATGCAAATTATTGCCTTTCACATATTCATTCTCTTAAGCATGTCTAATGGAAAGTATTTTGTGTTTTTTAGCAAATTGTACTCTTGACAGTAAGTGCATTTAGCATTTGCTATAAACATATTTACTTTGTTATTACTCTTGTAACTCTGTCCTGCTGACATTCTACTATTTTGTTATATCCTTGCATAATGTTTTAAAAATTCAATCAATACCCTTAATTTTAGTGTTTTTCTCTTTCTTTAACTATCTTTCCCATCAGAATTTAGTTGATAAATCTAATTTTTGCAGAACAACATAAACTAATAATATATCACCAAAGTTTCTATTTTTCTGTTGTAACCCCTCCAAACCACAAACAACTTCATTCACTGTATCCACTTAGCTGAGAATTACTGAAACTGAGTTATTAAGTTAATGACATCAATCTTCTACCATGGTTGCAATTACTATATTATAGATTAATTGCCTTGCTTTTATTTCAATTTACTAATTTATTTAGATGCTTTAAGTTTATATATATATATATGGGTAACTGACTTCGCTGTTTCTCTTCACATTCTCTCCTGTGCTGTAAACTTTTGCCTAGTCACTCTCCAGAACTCAAACAAAGGAACTGAGATTATAAATAACTCCAGCTACTTAATACACTTCACTTTTTCACATGCTGCTGGCAGAATAATCCAAACCTCTTGCTTATCTCTTTCTTTTCTTCTATCTAAAATGTAAGCTGAATGTACAAAATTGTGAGGCATCTATTTATTGCACCCATAATCAGGTGTGAAGCAAATATTGTGCCTTTAGAAATGCTTTATCCAGTAATAAAAATATGTTGAATTTGGCCATGTCTGTCTGCAAGTCCATCATTCCATCTATGCAATAAAACATTGCCATTCCATCACATCTATCATCTGCAAAGTTATTTTACCATGATTAAAAAGTGAATTGGTTTCGTCTTCCCTAACTAACTAACCAACTCTACTAAGTTCTATCGACATTGCAACAAATATATTATATCTTAGATTCAAGCAGGATCTTAAAAACCTCTGTACTAACTCTCCAGCGGATAACTTATTTCCATCTGCAAAATCATTTTGTTTGCATCATAAAAAAGTGCTCTTTCTTCAAATTATTGAAGAGATCAAACATTAGGGTTGCATTCAAAATAAAACACTGCCATTCCATCACGTCTATCATCTGCAAAGTTATTTTACCATGATTAAAAAGTGAATTGGTTTCGTCTTCCCTAACTAACTAACCAACTCTACTAAGTTCTATCGACATTGCAACAAATATATTATATCTTAGATTCAAGCAGGATCTTAAAAACCTCTGTACTAACTCTCCAGCGGATAACTTATTTCCATCTGCAAAATCATTTTGTTTGCATCATAAAAAAGTGCTCTTTCTTCAAATTATTGAAGAGATCAAACATTAGGGTTGCATTCAAAATAAAACACTGCCATTCCATCACGTCTATCATCTGCAAAGTTATTTTACCATGATTAAAAAGTGAATTGGTTTCGTCTTCCCCTAACTAACTAAACTAACCAACTCTACTAAGTTCTATCGACATTGCAACAAATATATTATATCTTAGATTCAAGCAGGATCTTAAAAACCTCTGTACTAACCCTCCAGCGGATAACTTATTTCCATCTGCAAACTCATTTTGTTTGCGTCATAAAAAAGTGCTCTTTCTTCAAATTATTGAAGAGATCAAACATTAGGGTTGCATTCAAAATAAAACACTGCCATTCCATCACGTCTATTATCTGCAAAGTTATTTTACCATGATTAAAAAGTGAATTGGTTTCGTCTTCCCTAACTAACTAACCAACTCTACTAAGTTCTATCGACATTGCAACAAATATATTATATCTTAGATTCAAGCAGGATCTTAAAAACCTCTGTACTAACCCTCCAGCGGATAACTTATTTCCATCTGCAAAATCATTTTGTTTGCATCATAAAAAAGTGCTCTTTCTTCAAATTATTGAAGAGATCAAACATTAGGGTTGCATTCAAAATAATTGCAACAGTAAACGAGTGAAAGAAATTGCAGGGAAAAAGTGACGTCAGTGACTTAGTATAGATGTGCTGAAGGGGGTTTTATTAGGATTAACATTAGGACTTTAAAGAAATAGTTTGTTCGAATTATCATATTTTTGTATCTTACGTATTCCCCACCCATAAATGTGTGAAGCAAATGTGGTGTCTCCAGAACTGCTTTATCTAATAATAAAACTATGTTGAATTTTTCCATGTCTCTTTGCAAATTATCATTCCATCTACACAATGAATCACTGCCATGCAGCTATCACCCATAAAGTTATTTCAACCATGGCTGAAAAGTGAATTGGTTTTATCTTCCCTAACTAACTAGCCAACTCCCTAATAAGTTCTATCGATGTACCAACAGAATTATCACATATATATACGAACATGTATCTGTCTACAAACAACAGTTATCTTTTAATTACCCCCCCGAAAAAAAAAAAAGAGAACCCTATCCTGGATCGTTTCCATGATAAGTCACCACAGAAGGTGTTAAATTAGGCAAATATCCATATTTCAATATTAGAATTAAAATACCTAGGGTTGTAATATATTGTTTATATTTTAAGATGTAATATATTTATTTCCTTCTTAGTCTGGATTGAAAAGCATTTTTCTAATATTTGAAAAACTGGTAAAATGTGCTGTTCTTTATTTTTTGTATATATAAAAATTATTGTATCTTTATTAAGTATTTTTTTATAATAAGCAGCCTTTTTTCCAGGTTGACAATCCTACAACTATTCTAACCCAGGATATGAGTCGAGCTTTCTTGATATCTAAAAATGCTGATAAAAACTTGTATAAGGTATTCTTTTATAACATTTTGAATAATTCTTTATGACAGGTTTTACCCTATAGATATACTGTCTCAAAATATGCATCCTTTGTCTACAATTGCGTGGAAAATATATGGAAGAATATAGAAAATCATTCATGAACAAGAGTATTACAAAGTTGAATGTTTTTAAAAATAATTATTGAGATTAGGGAGGGAAAAAAGACACCCGATTTTTTTTAAATAATATTTATCAAAACTTGAGATTTATGGACAGAACCAAAAAACTGCATTTTTTAATGGATCTTTTATGTCTTGTATAGGGTATTCTTGTATTGCTTTCCATTGATTAAATTCTTGTCATTAAACTTATTGTTATTTTTTTTTTATCGAGAGGGATTGGAAAAATGTAGTCAAAATAAGGCTACTTGAATAAATTGCAAAATTAAAAATAATGAATGGAAAGAAAAATTTCAGTTAAACCTTACTGCGCAGTTATTGTTTCAATATGACCTTTCTTTACCCAAAACTCTTTCCAAAATTTACATTGAATTAAGAAAGAATACTTGGTCTTAAATTTTAAGAGATAAACTCTCATAATAAGTAAATACAACAGTAATATAAATAAACCAACTGAAATGGAATTGTAGCAATGAAATGCTTTTTATCATGTTATTTTCACTATTTAATATATATAGAATAAGATATCTAGCAAAAGGGTTATTGGAATGATCTTCCTATATGTGAAGTCATATGTAATGTAATCTACATTATGTATGTCAATGCAATCTACATTACAAGTAAAATATTTACATTGCTATTGGATCCAGCCCTTGAATTCTTTTTAGAAAAGTATTATGTGTGCATTTGATGACTTCCCACTGTGTCATTTTTCTTCAGTGTTGAATTTTGAGTAATCACAGATTCAGATTAATGAGATTTCCAGTATATTGTGCCTAAAATTCATAACATTCTACCTACATAGATGTATCTACATGGAACTGAAGCGAAAGTTAGCTAAGCCTTTTTATTTATTGATGCAAATCATGCAAAGGAGTGATTTTCCTATATGTGGAGGTACTACACAACATAATCTAATTTCAAAGTGAAGTATTTACATCACTAATGAACCCAGCCCGTGAATTATTTAAAAAAAAATTCAGGTGTGCATTTGATGGCTCCCACTATGTCACTTTTCTTTAATGTTGCTTTCCTATTCTCTTAACTTTTCATCCATCTGTGCACACTGCTGTTGCCAGTGGCATAATCTTTGAAAACATCCTGCAGACTACTGTAGTTGTTTGACTGATTGTATCCTTCTCTTATTAGGAAGTGAATGATGGCATGTTGCATGTACTTCATATCCATTATTTTCTTGCTGTGAAGAAATTAATTACATTCTTGAACAATATAGGAGACATTTGAATAACATACATAGTCTGATCTGTGTTAGTTCGCAAAAAAGTTAGATCACTTATTGAATTATTTTTGGTATGACCTTTGTATAAAATTCAGGTGGTATAAAATTTAGCAAAGCAAAGTAGAAATTATTGCATTAATTAAGAATGAAAGTTATTTTCATATGTAAGAAAAGTTGAAGTGATTACAAAAATGCTTCATAAAATGGCAGTGGTGTGAAATACTGCAGTTTTGAGTGAAAATTTAGGCAACATGTATTTGAATGAAGCAGACTGTGCAGATATGGCTTACCCAACTTGCTTGTATCTTTGTCCCGTGGCACTGTATAGTAGTGGGATGTAAGCTCCACAGCTGCTGCATCTGTAGCCGTGAATGTTAAACCGTAGTCTGTTGGCTGGAAACTGAATATTGTACCCCAAGAGGAAAGTGCACTTTTAGTTCAGAAGCCAGTATATTGATCTGTTTTATTACCTTCTGACAACTAACCAGTCCTTGTAATTAGTTAGTCACTGTAAGATAATAAAAGTTATTAATATTTTTTTCATTTGAAAAAAAATTGTTTCCCTGTGTTTAGCAGAAATATTACAATAAAACATTACCAAAGTATAGCATAAATAATATTTTAAATATATTATTTTCTAATTTCTTAAAAAAATGTATAAAATGCTTAAAAAGCATTTTTTACATTTTTTTTAAAACTGAATACATTTATACATTTTATACATTTTTTTTTAAACTGAAGTAAACATTAATTGTTAAAAGCTCATTTTCTTTTTATTACAAATAAAAATGTTGGTTATATGATTATATTTTTAAATTAAATTAGTTTTCTTTAAAATACAGTTTAAAACAAGGCAATTGCTTGTGGTTATAAAAGAGAAATCTTCATAAAAAGGAAGAACTCAGATATGTATGTTGCAAGTTATTTTATGATATTTCTCAAATGTTTTAAGGTAGTATCTGATTTCACGAGTTATTAAGAAAGAAGTACTATAAAGAAAATGTTCCCTCATCATTTATTGATGATTTTTTTTGGAACTAAATCTGCCATATTAAAGAAAGATAATTCGTGAATTGAAAGGCTTGCAGCAAGAAAGGCACAGCTCCACATTTTTTAATTTTTGGAAAAAAAAAAAAAAAAAAAAAAAAAAAAATTCAAATTCAAACATTTATTTTTTAACTTGTGTTCTAAACATATGTCCTTATGAAAAGTGCTAGTATAAATGATCTTTATGGATATTACTATAGCACAATGTGTGTTTAGTTAGGCTACATAATTATTTGAATTTAGGAGCTAGGCCCTTTTTGTCCCAATGGTCATTGAGTTGCTCATTTTGGGGTGATAAAATATTTAAGAATGAATGCCTGTGAGAGAAAGTTTATTAACAGATAAAAGAGAACATTTTTAACATATGAAAAAATAAAATGAAACTGTATAATATGGAGGGGAAGGGATTATACAAGTATGTAGTGCGTAAAAGTTCATTTATGTATTCTTGTCAATATTGCATACAATCATTAACTCACTGAAAGTTATACATATCATTATTCATTGCAGAATTCACTTTCAGTTTCTTCAGCATCATTGGTTGTGAAGTTGTATTTTGTATGAACCAATATTTCTAGGAGAAATAACGTTTCCTTAAGTTGAAATATAACTCTTACCTTCATTGCGGCTCATTTTTCATTTGTTTTTATTTCATACATCCTGATTAAATACCTTTCTTTTCTTCCTTGACCATTCATTGTTATTGTCCTTGGACAGTATTCATCAGATGAGCCTGAGCTGATAGTTCAGGATTATTTTAACTTCTACTGCACATATGAAAAATTGGGAAAGCACAACATCATTAATAAAAATACAGTTCTTGTGCAGTTAAAATATTCAAGAACAATACTGTGCAAAGTGTAACCCTTGAATTTTCACAAACATTCAGGAGGGGAAAATGATTCCTCACATTGACTAATAAAAAATTCAAATAATTGGAGTTCTGCATTTGTATTTTCTTGACAAATTGCCTAAAATAAAATGGAAATAAAATACTGGATATAACTAATGATCTAAAATGTTGAACTGTTAATTTTAAGAGTATCTTATACATTGGATATTGAAATCCAGCCGTTAAAATCATTCTGGTGGTAGTGTTATCTTTAAATCCTTGTATACACTGTGATTAAAATCAAATTTATTTAAGCTTTTTTTTTTAACTAGTGTTGTTAGTCTGCTGGGGGGGGAGATGTGAACATAAAGGGAAAGAAATTATGGATAATTACATGTCATCCGGGCTTTAATTCAGCTGGAGCCCTCAGTTTACTACCGAGGGCTCTAGGATACTTCTCAGTTTTTGAGTGAATTTTAATTCCAGCTGGGGCTTCAAATAATGTGAGTTACAGTACTTAACTCTGCCATCAATTTAGCTTAATGTATTAATTTTTTATTTATATCTTTTTATTTTATTTAATTGTAAATTCTTAAATATTTAATTTATTTATATTTTTTCATTTTTTGTATAGTCTTTCATAAGGCTGCAGCAGTTCTAATTTTAGAAAGGAAAGCTTTGTATGTAAGGGTTAAATAATCATTAAATTGTACAAATTATGATGGATTTTTGAAAAAATTATTTGCTATGATTGTACAGTATATATTGCTAAGATTAAGAGTAATTTGTTGCTATGATTGTACAGTACATATTGCTAAAATTAAGAGTAATTTATTAGACATTTACTACATTTAATTGTGTTACCAAACAAACATTTAAAGCAATAATAATAGACTTAAATATTTTACATGAAATACTTTGGCTTTTAATGATGCCTGGATTCTGTCGGGCATTTCTTCTTTAAAGATTTTTCAGTGCTGCTCTTGATCTTTGTTATTATTCCATATTCTCTGGTGTTTTTTAATGAAATTTTCCATCTTTGTTATTTCTTTTTCATGGATTTTATTTTTGAAAATAACCTATATTCTTTCTTCTATATGGACTGTTTTCAGATTAAGTTAGCATTTGTAGCCAGCCCTTTAGAAGTAAAATAATTTTTCAGGATCTTGGATGTATGGCAAGAGGCATTTTTTAGTTGAAAATTTGCATCTCTTTGAGGAAACCACATGTTAAGATTCAGTATTGCATAGTTGGAATTTATACTCCCTTTAATTATTTTGTTATGTGCAATACCATAAACATATACAGGGGGAATCTAAACAGGTGGGCAGAACTTTAGGGGTGGTAGAAGACAGCTATGCAAGCAATAGTCGTTATAGAATGCAAGCGATGAGATGTTAAAAGGTAGTTTTTCACTGTCACATTTAAAGAATTAACACAAGAATGAGAGAAGATACTTCAGAAGACATTTTGATAACAGAACATATGTATAGAAATTACTCAAAACAAAAGCTGTAATGCAAGCTTCACACCTGCGTGACAGAATTGATGCACATTTGCGAAAACACCAGGCATTTCCTGAATATTGCCAGCAACAAAAGCAATTCTGGTAACTAGATCCAAATTGGGACACTCGTAGATTAGGCTTTTCATATTGCCCCACAAGAAACAATCCAAAGACTAGAGATCTGGTGATCTTGGTAACCGAGCTATGGGACTACCTCACCTAATCCATCACCCTGGGAACTTTGCTTCTAAAGTGTTCCGCACATCTAAGTTGAAGTGTACAAGCATCCCATTGTTCTGGAACCACATTCTCAACCTGATGGATGTTGGAATTGGATGCAGCAGCTCTGATAACACTTCTTGCAGGAATGTGTGATACGATTTGCTGTCTAGACATTGTGGCAGAAGTTATGTGCCAACCAACATGGTCATGGAGGGTCCCTACCCAGATATTTATGGAGAACCACTATTGGAATGAATGAGGACGTGGGACATGCAAGTTCCTAGATGCCCAAGTGTGTGAGTTATAGGTATTAAAAACCAGGGCTGTGGAGTCGGTAGAGAAAATGACCGACTCTGACTCCCTCATATATATATATATATGTATATGAATTTCTCAATTATGAAGCAAGTTAAGATGCTTCTAAAAGATTTAAAAATGTCTAAAATTAGTTTGAGAACAGAAAAAATAATTAAATTTTGAAATTAATTAATTTAACCTTGCTCTGATCCTGAAAAGTCCCATGAGGCATAAGTTTGGGCCCATGAAAATCATTTTTTTATCATAGAAAGAGTCATTTTTTATTGTGTGCTTATACTTACTAGTGCTGGCTGACACACCTTGATCTTCCCATGTCTTTTTTAATTTTATGGATTATAATTTATGATTTTTCTTAGGCAAAACAGGAACCTTATTTTGGCACAGACTTTGAATAAAACTCATTCTTCATTCTTATAAGTTCGTTACTTTTTCATTCAGAGAATACTTTTTTATGTCCACATTTGCCTAAGCATTTCACGAGAGATTTTTCAGCCTTTTTTACTTCCTTGTATGAAGTAAAGGAAGTACTGTAATCACAAAAAATTCTGGGCATCATTTTTCAATAAAAATAACCATTTTGCCCATTATCGAATGCAATTTAGTGATGTTTGTGTGGGAAATCTGTACTTAAGGACAGAATAAAGGACTCCTTTTTTTTTTTTCCCAAATGAATTATAAAACTGATTTAAAATGGATTCAGGGATTTTTTTTGTGGCATCCGTCCATTCGTGCGTATGTATGTATCTCGCATAACTCAAAGGAATAGCCTTAGAACATTGAAATTTTGTATATAGGACTGCTATAATATGTAGTTATGCACTTCCCTTTTTGGTTGCAATTGGCCGCATGAAAAGTATATAAATATATATATAGCCACTGTGTTACTTGGCTCAGCGAGCTCAGTTTTTTATTCTTATGTGTTGGTTAATTGTGCATATTTTGCTTTAAAAATGATTTAATTATGCTGTTCTTATCTTCCAGTTAGGGGTTTATACCTTTAGTTCTTCCAGTTAGGGGTTTATATCTTTAGTTATACTGTTTACATTTTGCCATATTTGTTTCAGAATAGTGAGCTCAATTTTTGCACCTTCAGTGTCTTTTTGGTGAGTGGGGCCAAAATTAAACTTTCATTTTTGTACGCCGAAAAATCTGCCTTGTCGCCTGCTGGCTGAATTGCTTGTTTTTGCATAGAAACTCTAAATTTTTCTAACTGTAGTTGGTGTTTTATTTTTTCTTCTATATTTTTCAATTTTTAATGAAGATATTTTGAGATTTTATGCATTTTTGCCTTCCCACAAACTGAAAACAGAATTAATTGAATGAGAAATATATCTCTAAAGAAATTTCAGGAAATAAGTTTAAATGAAATGCAGCAAAAAGTGTGTTTAATTTAATATTCCGTACAAGGAAGTCATGTGGTGTATACCTCAGTTATTTATTAATATTTTTTAATAACACCTGAAGTGAAATTTTTATAGTTTTTTAGCAGTATCTTTTCATTCCATATCTGTATTTTTAACCATATCTAGATTAGTTATCTTAATTTCTTATTCAAATCTTTGTTACCAATGAGTTATTAAATAAATTTCATAAAGTAACAGTGTGAAAATAAGTAATCTAAAGTTCCAAGCAAATATAAAAAGCGTAAAGGAATAATAATAAATTGAAATGAATGAAGGCAATTAATTCAATATAATTATTAAATTTATTTTGTCAGTGATGTAATGAAATAGTTAACTACTAAAATAAAATTGGTCTTTCTAAAAGAAAAAGTTGCATGTAATTTAATTAAATACATGCAGTTAAAAAGTATGTTGGCATTTTTTTTTTGTTAAATGAAATGAAATAAATCTCAGTCATTTAAAAAATAGTTTTTCTGGAACAAAATGCAACAGAGAAAACTTTTGTAAATTATGTACAGCATGATAAAGAAAAAAAATTTGTATTATTGTATTTTGCATTAGACTGTATAAAGGAAGAAAAATTTTACATGCTTTTTTTAGAATGGTATGAAACTGAAACTTAATACTATATTGTTTCAGTATAATATTTTAAGGAAAATTCACAGATTTCTCTTTTATTCTTGTAGCTTTTTTATGAAAGTACTGGTTTGCAGAAGTTAAAAGAAAATTATGCAAAAGTAAATCAGTTAAAAAAGGCTGCAGAGTCAACTCTAGAAACTAAAAAAAAGGCAAGTTTTTTACTTATTAATTACAAGTTTATACTACTTGTAATTTTATAAACTATTGATTATTGATAAACTATTGATAATTTTATACACTATTAAACTATAAATTATAAACTATTTATAAACTATAATTAAAAGTATATTATATTTAAAATTCATAATATATATCATGTTGTTATAACGTAATGCTGATGGTTATTCGAATTAAGGGCAAAAATCTGATGTAGAATAATGAACTTAAACCGATGGCATTTGAAGTAGATGATAGGAATTCAGATTAGCTTTAGAGTGTTTCCTTCCTTTTTTTCAAATATCATAATATATAGCAGTGAGTTTAAAATGAAACTAAAGCTTTAAAAAACAGATTTTTATGAGTTTGAGTTCACTGATATAAGCAACAAAAATGCTTAATGCAATATTACGAGGGCAATCGCAAAAAAAAGGTCTCCTATATTTTTAGACATACAAAGAACCGTTTACTTTCTATAATTGCTACATCACTTTAAAGATTGAAGAATGCTTTATTTATCAACATAATCGCCATTTCGGTCGATGCATTTTTGTAGACGCTCTGGCAGTTTTACAATGCCCATGTCATACCAGCTTGCCACCATGCCCTTCAGGAAGCGTTGAACCTCATCTTTCACCTCATCATCGGAGCAGAACCATAGCGGCGAAGAAATTCGAGGGAAGAATCAACCATTTTCCGTTTGTGGTCTTGTGTCAGCATACGCGGCACCCATCTTGCACACACCTTCCGATATTGCAACTTTTCCGTTAAAATCCTGTGGATGGTGCTTCTGGAAACCTCAGGAAACAAAATGCAGAGAGCATCCAGAGTGATCCTCTGACCTTTACGCATGAGTTCAACTTTCGCGATTGTCTCGTCGGCAATTGACGGCCTTCCGCTCCTTTCTTCGTCATGAATTTCAGTATGACCGGCTGTAAAGTCTATACACAACTTGCGAATGTTTTTGACATCCATGACGACTATCCACACACTTCCGTCAATAGGCGGTGAATTTCAACCGGTTTAACGCCTTTTGCGTTCAAAAATCGAATAACTGCGCACACTTCGCGGTAACGTTTATCGGGAGCTCCATTTCGAATGGCTGCCAAGCCAAGACTGAGCATCCGAGCAAAGCACCTGCATGCTTATGTGGTAGCGGAGAAGGCACCACTCAGAACAGTGTTGCCAACAATGGTATTAAAACTTTCTCTATGTCCGCCCAAAAATAGGAGACCTTTTTTTGGGGATTGCCCTCGTACACAGTCATTTCCCGATTAACTGAGAGTGCACTAACCAGACCCTGTTTACCGTAACTTAACCAGACCCTGTCTGATTAAATTTTTCTATTATAAAGTAATGGAAAAATTACTATCACAAATGATCTGCATAAAATAAACTGTATATGAAAAATGCAAAAAGAAAAATAAGCAAATAAACATGCGTAACATAACAACAGTGATAGCAAATGATGTTATAGAAATGAAATAGCAAACGATATGATGGCAAATGATGTTATATGAAATTTTCATTTACAATAGTATGTAATTTAATTATATGCCATTTTAAAATATAAAAACATTGTAGGATAAGGAAAAAAAAAGAAAATTCTAGCCAGCTTTTTATGCGAATCAGAACTCAATGGCATTAAGTTCTTTTAATGTGACATAACTGAGTTTCTTCATTCTTAATCATGCTTATTCTTCTGCTGTTTATTCCATGTTTTTATTATTTTTTTACTTTAAACACTGTTTTAATTTGCAAAAACAAATTAATCTCAATTAAGTTAATTTGCTAATTAAATCAAGTTCTATTGCTTGAAAATACTAGTAAATTATTAAAAATATATTTCTGTTAGTTCAAATGAGGTTTGCTCCTCTTTCCTGTGTTGCACAGGTAAATTGTTAGTTGATTGTATTGTACATGATCAGAAAATAAGAAATAGAAAAACCATATAGAATTGTAGCATAATTGCAAAATGCTGAGCCCAGCTTGGGATTGGTAAGCAGGTTTAAAAGTACTTTTATGGAATTCCAACCCTGTAGCAATCATTAAATCTCATAATTAAGGAGATATTTCTCTTTTTTCTGTTTCTTCCTATTTTACTGACTTGTGTGAGCAAAAACAGAACTGTAAGAATAAAATAATTATGAATCTGAAAGTAAATGAACATTAAAGATACCTATCCGAAAGTGTAATGTTATCCATTATTGAAAATTTTTGTAGAAATGTGATATAGAACTGTCTTTAAGTAAATGGAGTATCTTTACTTTTACAGATTTATTTAAAAGTTTTCAATAGTAATATATACAGATTTCTCCCAAACTAAAACATATTTATAATAAAAATAAAAAATCTGAAGGGAGTTAGATTAAACAAATCACCCCAAAAGGCTCAGTGACCCAAAATGGCTCTCATCTCTTTTAGTTTAATATGATTTATCAGTAGAGATTATCGGTTGATATAAGCTGAGGTGGAATAGCGAAGCATTTTATAGGATATTAGCCCTCTGAGCAGCACAGGTTTTTGCATCTGTCATGAAGACCTGTATTCAAAGACACTTTATTAGCTAAATTTGTATATTTACTTACTTTAGGCTCTATTTTCGTAAACTTACATTTATTAAGATGATATTTATATTATTAAAGAAAGTAAGAAAGAAAAATATCATAAATTATAAGCTAATACAGTCAAAAGTCGTTAATTCGGACCTCAAAGCTACAAACTTTCTGCGCATGCGTCGCGTTGAGGCGTTTACGTATGCGCATAGGCGTTTACATATGCGCATAAGGCCTTTACGGCTGCGAATATGTGTGTGCGCACGGGCATAATACGTTTACGCATGCGCATTTAATGTATAACGGACGGTATAAGCTAAACTAAAATTATCTAATTCAGTTAAGGTTGCAGATTGCATTGTTCAAATTGGATCCGGCTTATTATTTTTTGCAGACTGTTAGAACAATTTTTATAAAAGTAAGCTTGAACTTTCTATTATGTCAAATAGAATTTCCAATATATATTTACTAATATGTAAAGGATCTACAAAGCGAAATTATGTTTCGAAATCCATTTATCAATTTCACGCTGCTCTGCGGCGGGGTGGGGGAGGAACCGCTGCGTCGCGCAATGAATTGGAAGTTGATCTGTCAGCACTATCCTTATCTTCAGGGCAGATGTTTTTATTTTATTTGGCTTATAATTCCTTACTAAATGTAGTATTTCATCTCGATGTACTACATCTTTGATATGATTTAAATCAAGTTCCTCGTCATTATAATTCGCTTCCGATAGTGAAGAAATGACAGAGGTTATTAAAAACGAAAAAATTTCGATTGACAAATTAGTCGGTATTCTCGACACAGCAATTATTGGACTTGAACAGCGGAACTTTGTAACTAAACAAGAAATTATGTCTGTTTAATAGAATTAAAGAGAAAGTATTATCACATGAAACGAAGCAACTTAAACAACTTACATTGAAAGAAATGTTTAATAAAGTAAACAAATAAATATTAAGCTTTTTCTTTTTGTAAATTTTGATACCCTTTAGATCATAATTGTTCTTTATTTCATAAATTATGGTTTCATATTTTTTAATTTTGTAATTTCTGCATACCATCTTTACATGATGATCTATAATCCGGAAAAATCGATTATCCGGAATCGCCGAAGTCCCTATGAGTCCAGATTAAGGACTTTGTACTGTGATAATATATGAAGAATATATTTCACAGTATAGTTACAAAATATCTCATGACCGGATAAAGCCGGCCATAACGCACAGAGGGTTAAATGAATATGCATTTGGACTACATAAGAATATTATATACAGTACATTTAAAAAGTGAAAAATATATAATTCTATAAAAATATTTATTTTTTAATTAGATGTATCATGAATTAAATGCATTCTTATTTAAATCAATCAGATTAAAAAGTAAAAAAAAAAAATACTTTAAGAACTATTAACCTTTCAATAGTTTATTGATTAATAACAGACAGATTAAATATGAATGAATAAATAAAAAAAAAAATCTGAAAGGTTTCAGATTTTAAATTACGTCCAAAGGTGTTTTTTTTTTAACATTTTGTGTGTTATTTATTAAATACCATGTTCTTTCGCACTTAAACCATAAAATTCAGCTTAAGATTGTTGCTTAATTAAGAGCAATATCGCAAAATAATTTTAAACTGAGCCATATGCTTAGAATTTCCGATACAGAGTCTCGCTCGCTGGAGATAAAAGTGTTTTTTCTGTACAAAGTTGCCACTGCTCGCTTGGAAATCCTTGAGTTTGTTAATCAAAAATTCGTATAAGGTTTACAAAATATGAAATCGATAATAAAACAGATTCCAAATTCGAATTTGGGCTTTCTCGCAAAGATTAAAAAGTAAAAAATCAGGACATTTTCGCAGGAGAATTATGATATTCAAAATTTGATAGATCTAGGTACCATTGTTTTATCACAATGCAAGAAACATACATTTATGCGGCTCACCAGCGGCCGAGCGGTAAAGACGCTGAACACTGGTAGTTTGATCCGAGGTTGGAATCCCGCGAACGGGCTGGCTGCATGGGCGTTGTCATGGTTTCCCCCCTGTGTAACGTGTATACGAGCCAGTTTCCTTTAGAAAGTCCTCCACGAAGGCATCCCTCCCTTTAGGCAGATAGCCCCCGTGTGCTTTGCCATAATTAGTCCAATCCAATCCATACATTTATGCAGATTCTTCATTATTTAATTTCTTTAAATATAATACAGGGCGATAATATTTGGTGGCAACAATTTGAAAAGTGAAACAATTCTTGTAGTGTATCTTGCAAAATGCTAAAACGAAATTAATAGTCCTTCAGGGCAAATTTCCCCTTTGGACTAATAATATCTTATTTTTTTTAATGGCAGTAGACTTGAATGAAAAGTAAAACAATGCATCAAAGTAAAATAATCTAAAATCATGTTTCATCAACAGTTAATATTTAGCCGTTTTGGGCTAAAAATTAATTCAAATGATAGTTGACAAAAGGACTAATATACACAATTTTTATAGTTATCTGGGATTATCTTATCATTTCTATTAATCAGATTAATAATATTTTCCTAAATATATTGTTGTTCTTGCAAGTGATACCTAAATAAAGGTCTGTTTTATTTTGAACTATTAATATGTTTAATTTACACATGGTGCCAGCTGTATTGATCATGTAGAATGTTAATAATTCTGGAGATGGTGCTGGTAGGAAGAATTGTCACTTGGTTAAGTGCAAGTTTAATGTCTGATCAAATCAAGAACTGATGTTCCATTGAGAATAAGTTTGGATCTTCAGAATATGAGCAAGTTTTAAGTATCATATTTATGTTCCCTCTATGAGAATAAAAAGATAAGGAGGGGAAAAATTGTTTGAAATAACATTTGGCTTTTGTTCTGTGTAACAGCTATATCAAGCTTAGGTGGGACATTTTATACCTGTGCAACATTGTTTGGGTGCCATTTTTCTCCAAGCTGTCTCTGGTGAAATGAGATATTTTAGTTAAAAAAAAAGTCTGAAAGCTTTCCGATTTTACATCATGGCCAAAGGGGCGTGCTTTTAACGTTTTGTATGTTACTTTTATTTATTAAATTTCATGTTCTTCACACATAAACCATAAAATTCGGTTCAAGAGCATTATCGCAAAATAATTTTAAAATGAGCATATCTTTAGAGTTTCCGATACACAGTCTCATGCACTGGAGGTAAAAATGTTTTTTTCTCTTTTTTCTGTGCAGTGTTGCCATTGCTCGCTTTTAAATTGTTGAGTTTGTTAATCAACAATTCATTAAAGTTTTACAAAGTATTATATAGATAATAAATCAAATTTCAAATTTGGGCTTTCAGACACCCATATTCAGGTTGAAACATACGCTATTTAAAATTTGATACATACATTTATGCAGATTCTTCATTATTTAATTTTTTTAATACAGGGCTCTAATATTTGGTGGCAACAATTTGAAAAATGAACAAATGGTTTCAACGCAGAATGCCAAAATGAAATTAATAGTCCTTCTGGGCAAATTGTCCTTTGGACCAAAAACTTGAATCTTAATAAAGACCTGTCTCAGTAAAACAAGCATTAATAATCATAAACTCTAACTGAAAGTTTTAAATTGCCTATTATCCTCTTACCTTGTTAAAACACATAAATAAAACCTCAGGTCTATGATATACAAAATTGCTACTAAAAATGGTGTCAAAATTACTTGAAATTTATCCACTTTTATCTTAAAAGAGGAAAAGATGATAACATTGTTTTAAGAGGCATATTACTGTAGTTTAAGAGAAATTGAATTTAGTCATTTTTGCAAAGGTGTATTAAAATCCACAAATCCATGCATTTTGTTTATGTCTGTGTGTTTTTTCTTCTTTTTTCTTTTTTATGTAATATATCTTTTTTAAATTTGCATTCAGAGACTCTCTTTTAGCAGTACTTTTAAGTCCCCAAATTTAAATGAACAATTTTTATGACAATTGTTTTATTATTATTTTTAAATTTGTCATTTTTTAACTGACATTTTTTTTCATAAAAATTCAAATTTTGCATTTTTTTTTATTGGAAGGCATCACATGATCAAATTTATTTCATTCTGTAAGCTTGCATTATTTCATTCCTTTCTTAAACAGAGAAAAGGCCATATAAGCAATATATCAAGAGATATTTAGATGCAGTAATTTTCAGTTAGCGGGTAAAACTGTGTTATATATTTATGCATTTTATTTTCAGTAAATTGCGAATATTTATATTAATAATTTATACTTTTAATAAGTTTGATTAATAATTTATTCATTTAAATGTGTTTTAGTTATTGCAAGAAACAGAGAAAGAACTACAACAATGGGAGAAACTAATGAATCATGCTAAAACTTGCAGTGATTTACAAAATGAATTATTATGGGCCATAGCACTAGAGATCGAAAAGGTAATGTGTTTTCACATTATTTAATTGGAATTATTTTTATATCTGATTATAAAATAAGCAACAACTTAATATATCTAGGATATATAGAAAAATTGACTAAAGTTTTTTTTATCTTAAAATATTAATTCTAGGCATTGACTTCAATTTTTAAATTTCTAAAAATAAGGTGAGGAATGTAATGAAATTATTTTTAACACTGAAGGAAAGATTTTGTAAATGTAAAATGTAACTTTTTATTTGAATACAAACCGATAATATAAAAATAAATACAAACCAATTGTTCTTAAAAAGTCTTCCACAAAGGCATCTGTTTCCTTAGAGTGTCCTGTGTTCATTGCCGTAATCAACTGAATAAGCCTTTCCTAAACATCCTAAATATTTGAAGTAAAGTTTTTTTGGGGGGATGGTGGCTTTCTTCCAGATTTTGAACTGTAAAGCTAGAGCTTAGATTTGGATTTTTTAATTAAGGCAAAGCTTGTAAGAACTGCTCCATACAAGAGGGATGCCTTGCTGGTGAGCAATTTTAGGGAAACTGGCTCATACAAACCAAGGCCAAATTTATACCATACATTTGTTTTGAATACCTTTATGACACATATTGTCAGATCCTTTGTAAATAAATTTGCAGAAAAAGTACTTAAGTTGCAGTAAAATAAATGTAAAAGAATGAATATTTATGAAATTTTAGATTATATCAATTATTCTGCAATGATTACTTAAAATGCATTTTGTGAATAAGTATTTATTTATAATAAAGCAATATTAAAAGATTAATACAGTCAAAAGTCGTTAATCCGGACTCGTCGGGACTTCGGCAATTCCGGATTATCGATTTTTCCGGATTATAGATCATCAGTTTAAATCTCGTAAGATGGCATACAGAAATTCTAAAATTAAAAATATGAAACCGTAATTTATGAAATAAAGAACAATTATGATCTAAAAAGTATCAAAATTTAAAAAAAAAAAAAAAAAAAAAAAAAAAAAAGCTAATATTTATTTGTTTACTTTATTAAACATTTCTTTCAATGTAAGTTATTTAAGTTGCTTCGTTTTATGTGATAATATTTTCTCTTTAATTCTATAAACAGACATAATTTCTTGTTCAGTTACAAAGTTCCGCTGTTCAAGTCCCATTAATTGCTGTGCCGAGAATACCGACTAACTTGTCAATCGAAATTTTTTCGTTTTCACTAACCTCTCTGTCACATTCTTTATGTCTTTATCCATTTTTTGCAGCAATTCCACTTTTTGTTTTGATGGACATCGAAACATACTTTCGTTTTGTAGATCCTTTGGGAGCTCCAGAATCAGAAATTCTTTTTAACATAATCGAAAGTTCAAGTTTACTTTTATAGTATTGCTCTTACAGTCTGCAAAAAATAATAAGCCGGATCCAATTTGAAAATTAAGGAACAACGCAATCATCAATATTAACTGAAATAGATAATTAGATAATTTTAGCTTATACCGTCCGTTATACATAAAATGCGCACGCGAAAACGTATTCTGCACTTGCGCACACGCATATGCGCAGACGTAAAAGGTCTTACGCGCACGCGTAAACGCCTATGCGCATGTGTCAACGCGGCGCATGCGCAGAAAGTTTTTAGATTTGAGGTCCGGATTATGGGTGTCCGAATTAACGACGTTTGACTGTAATACCGATTTTAAAAAGAGCTGTCTTTGCTATTCAAACTAAGAAATATTTAGTTATAGTAATTGTGTGTTAACAGTTGTTCCATCGGTGATTCTGCAAATTTAAATAATATGTATATTCTCTAGAATTTTATCTTTTATCAATTTTCTTACTTATTTCTGAAAAGTATGCAGTGCATTCATAAATGTATTAGCCTTATTATTCTCTGTTTGAAAGAAATACACTGGTGGGCAAAAATTAAGGACGAGACGGTTTTTCAATATAACTTTGTACAAAAGCTTTCCAAATCAACACATTTAATACCGTAAGATCCCCAATACGTAAGGACATGAGTAATGTAAGCAACACTTACTAAAAGAGAAATCAGAGGGATAAAAAGAAGCTTTATTGAAAAAGTAGCATGGAGCGCAATGCGACTGAAGGCCCAAACATCCCTGTGATGGGTGTCCAGCAAGAAACATCCGGTCTTTAATAGGGGATATGATCTCCCCTGACTGCTAGGCAGGTTTCACAGCGTCTGCCCATGCTGAGAATGAGGGTGTCAATGAGTTGTTGAGGCATTGCTGCCCATTTGTCTTGCAGCGCCAATCGAAGCTCCGGAATCGTTACAGGTGGTAAGGTACGAGCTGCCAAGCCTCTGTCTAGAAAATCCCATACATGCTCAATGGGATTGAGATCCGGAGATTGTGCCAGCCAATCCATACGTTCAATATCCTCACTCTCTAAGAGCTGTTCGGCAGCTACTGTGTGATGACATGGTGCATTGTTGTCCATGAAAAGGAACTGCGGACCCATAGCGCCTCTAAAAAGATGCACATATGGAAGAAGAATCTCGTTACAATAACGGGTCCCGTTGACTGAACCTGCGTCGAAGATGTGAGGGTCTGTACGACTACCAAGCATGATGCCTCCCCAAACGAAAACACCGCCACCTCCATACCTGTCCTTTTCAATGATGTTCAAGGGATGATTGCGCTTCCCCGCTCTCTCCAGATAAGTATGCGATGAGAATCGCTACTCAGACTGAATCTGCTCTCATCTGTAACTGTACTCGTCTCCATTCATTGTCTTTCCAATTCCGGTGTTCCCGGCACCACAGAGAACGCCTTCTCCGATGGGCAGGTGTTAGAGGTACACACCGTGCAGGGCGTCTTGCAAACAGACCACCACCGTGCAGTCTTCTGGCCACGGTAAAACGCGATATTGGTCGTCCAGTCGCCTGTGTCGTGTGTCTAGCGATTTCTCCCGCTGTCTGCCGCCTGTTTCTTCTGGCCTGTAAGGCAATATACAGGTCATCTGCGGGTGTGGTTCCTCGTGGACGACCACTACTAAACCCCGGGATAGCTGTTCCTGTAGTTTGAAATTGTCTCCAAAGTCGTGAAACGATGCTGTGAGCAATTCCGAACTCTTCAGCCACACTTGTCACACTGCGGCCTTCCTCCAACTTCCCAATGATTCGACCTCGTGTAAAAGCATCCAGATGTCGTCTAACAGATTGATTATTCGCCATTTCTCGCTGAGGCAGCAACTTGGCGTGATTTTAACTGCTATACGGCGTGCAATCTCTTTGCCAGAAATACTGATCTTACATCGACAACATACTTTATACTACTCAGACACTCCCCCATTACGTCTACCTGCATATCTGCGCATGTGCTACCGTACATCATTTTACTTAATCTCCTGATTGGTCTTTCTGTCCGCTCTGCCTCTTCATTCAGCTGATATGCTAATTTTTCGACTTCATCCTTAATTTTTGCACACCAGTGTATTTAAGTCCAAAGTCGTACACTTCTTCTGTAAAGACAGATTCTTTTCTTTACAAAGAACAATATGCTACTGCTCAAATCAATATACTTTGGAAATGTTCCTTTTAAATTTGTGATTTAAATAAACAACCGCTGCATTGTTTCCCTAATTGATTTGAATGAGTAATTATTTGGTGGTTTTTCACGTGAATGATAGAAAAGTGTAACTGTTATAATTATTAATTTTTTCTGTAGAAATTATTGGATAAACAGGAAAAATTTGAAGAAGCACAGAATGAAGTCATAAAAATTCAGAAGGAGAAGGAAATAACACAGGTACTTGTTTATTTATAAACATTTTTAGCATTATACTGTGTCGCTCTGCATTTTTATTATAAAGATAAAGAGAATACTCCTTTTATTATAGTATTTTCACATTTTTAAGGGAAAAGTATATGTAATTGTTAGAATTTAAAAATTTGGTAAGAGTGATATTATACTGTTTCATAGTTTTGTAATTATAAGTTTTTTTTTTTTTTTTTTTTTACGAAACGTTTGAGCTGATTTGTAGAATTCTAATAATTTGTGATTACTTAATCCACAAATACTTGCAGTTTGCGTCTACTTTTTTTAAAATGTAAACAATCTAAATTTCAGTTTTTAGGAAGTTCAGTATGATAAACTTAGTGACAGTTTTCTCTTCTTTAAATGTACAAATAAACTTTTTAATAAAATCTTATAGCAGTACTTTGACTGAAGAAGCATATTTATTCTATTCTAAAATTATTTAACAATTTTTGCACACAAGTGAGTGCACTTGCTTTATAGTAAACACAGGTCATAAATATCTCTGAATTTTTCATTGTAGATTATTTTCTACTTCTGGAAGCACATTCTGTAACATTAATTTTTGAGTTTATTTGTTGTATGTGCAAATTTTATTTGTTTTCGACATTTTGGAACACTGAATTTTAATTTAAGTGCATCTCATAGCTGGTTGTTTATATTCTGCATTAAGAGCAAACTTATTTATATCACTTTCAAATAGGGTACAATTATTAAAAATTAAAGTAAGATAATGTGGGTTCTTCTGTCATCAGAAACAGAAATATAAAAGAAAAGTGGATTTAAAATGTTGATAAATCCAAAATTTCAGTTTTAAAACTTTTTTTTAGCTTATAGTAGTGTTAATAATTCAACTGCATGTAAATGGAATGTTATGGCAATTTAGTGTAGAAATTAAATTCACGTAAAATCTTCTGTAGTGATATTTTTATACATGGTGTATGCATTCATATATTTACTTTTTCTTTTTCTTTAGAGCATAAAAATTATTTTAAATTCTTTTATGGACACAACTCTCGATGCCAAAATATGGAAATTGTTGAAATTGTATTGTATTTTTGTAGAATTAAAATTGAGAAAGTAAAAACTTTTAACCATGCAAATATATTGACCATTATTTTAGCAAACAGTAAATAATAATATTAAAAAAGAATTGAAAGAAAGGAAAGGAAAGTAAGACAGCTAACATATCTTTTAAATATGCAATAGGCTAAGTTAGCAGCAGACAGAGAAATGTAAAAAATGAGTTTAAAGTTAAAATTGTTGCTTTTCAGGAATAAAGATATCAACTGGTAAAAATGATTGTTTTTATAAATTCATGTAAATGATTGATTTTACTTGTTTTGCGTTTTATATTATAGTTAATTTGTGTGTATTTCTTTCATATTGTTTCTGTAAATAATTTGTATTTGTAGAGCTATTATGTCATGTCCTTTGAAGCAGAAAACATGAAAAATAAGCTATGCCTTCTCTGTGTTTGAACCACAAATCTTATAACTACCTGTACAACATGAGAGTAAGGGTGGGGAAAAGTAATAATTCCTCATAGTCTTCTCCTCTTAGGCGTAATCTGCCCATCCCTTTTCAATCCCACTTTTGTTTCATTATAGTTATGCATTTGATGAAAGAAAAGTAAACAGCATCATGTTCTCATCATTCATCAACAGCATCATGTTCTCATCAGTCATCAACAGCATCATGTTCTCATCAATTTAAAACAATTTTTATGCTCTTATGAAAGAAAAAGTAAACATATGAATGAGTACACCATGTATAAAAAAATCACTACAGAAGATTTTACATGAATTTAATTTCTACACTAAATTGCCATAACATTCCATATATATGCAGTTGGCGTGACCAAGCAAGAGTAGATATCTAAAATGAAAATGGTGCAGAATGATTTAGTTATAGTTTAGTTTTTTCCTCATTGTTTAATAATAAGTTTTGGTTCCCAAAATTTAAGTCACTATTGAAGCTTGAAGCATTTTGTAAGTATCTGCATCATGAGCATTATGCAAAAATCATACATTAATTCTGAAATGATGCCGTTCAAAGGGATTTGTTATAAGCAGTTACTAGTTTTAGAATGGATACAGGAAACAACTAAATCATAATGGAAAGTTAAGGAACTATTGCATATCAAACTTATTACTTTATCTTACCTAATTTTTATCATACATATGTAATAGGATTTATGATCACAATTCTTGACATGGCAAAAGAAATAACTTTTCTAGTACTAAGTGTGGTGGAATGAGAAATGTGAACACAGAAACACAGTAAATATGAATAGCGTAGAGAATAAAAATCATTTTAATCAAGGATATTCACAAGAAGTAATGTTTGATTTTATAAGAATTTTCAAATAAAGATCACCAACATGCATCACAATGATTGCAAAGTGATTGGTGTACACTTTGGAAGATGTTTAGCATGTCATATGGGACATGCAGACTGCAGCAGAGACATTAATTCTGACCAAAAATTCTTGAGAAGAATCAGTTTGCATTTCATAAATGAGATGCATCATCTTGTTTGCATGTATTGCAGTTGCTGATTGTTTATTTGAAGAATTCTTGTAAATATCAGGCATTATTTCTTGTAAGTATCCATCATTAAAATTATGTTTTATTGAGGTTTGGTTGGTATGTTGCAGCACTAATGCCATCTTCGAGGCAAAGCTAGAATTAATGATTATACTTTACTCTTTTCATATTAGTATTAGAATCACTCTTTTCATATTAGTATTAGAAACAGTTATTAATTCAAATAGTGATTAATTTATAATAAAAGTTCTTATATAAATTTTTCCTGCATAAATTTGTTTTCTGTGAACTTAATTTATTTCATGTCTCTCCAAGAAAAGATTTATATGCGTAGATATAACAGACCTATTATAATAGATAAGTGATTGTGCTAGATCAAAATTGTGTAATTTTATTATCTTTCTTTCTACTGCATGTAAAGATTTAATGATTTTAAGATTCCTTATAAGTATGTCAAATTTGAACCATAGGTTATAATCACTTTAATCACTTTTTTATGTTTATTATTTAATGACAGCATTTTTTGTTCTTTTTTTCCCTTTTTGTAGCCTTAGAAAATTTATGTATGCTTGTTATCATTTGACAAATGCAACCATATAGTCTTCTGTTCTTTTAACTGTTAATTTTCATTTTTCTAAAGCTTTGAAATTTTTTTTTCTTGTCATTTTAGGCTGAACATTTTAAACTTTCTGAGACCTTCAAATCACATGATATGCATCGACAGAACTTGGAAAAGGAAATCGAGTCAATAGAAAGCTCTTTAAAGCAGTTGAAATCTCAACAGCAAAGTGTGACTAAAGATGTTCGAGAACATGCGGTATGCTCTTAAAAATTGCTTTAAATTAATGATAATTGATGAATCATTTAATTTTAATGCTCTTTATCATAAAAAGAATAATAAGTTGATTTTTGTGTCTTTGGGGGGGATATAAATCGAAAAAAAGTTGTGAAAAATGTGAAAAAAAGTTGGACTACAGAATTTATATCCTTGATATAGATTAACACTTTATAAAATATAAACTACATCACTGCTCAATGAAATTGTAGTGTCAAGAAAAAGTTAGCGGATCATAAGAGTCAGATGTCAGTCATGCTAGTCAGATTACAAAAATATGGTGTTGGTGTATTTAATTACGGCAAAGCACACTAGGGCTATCTGCCTAAGGGGAGGGATGCCTTCGTGGAGGACTTTCTAAGGGAAACTGGCTCATATACACGTTACACATGGGGAAAACCACGAAAACACCCATGCAGCCAGCCCGTTCGTGGGATTCGAACCTCGGACCGAACTACCAGTGTTCAGCGACTTTACCGCTCGGCCGCTGGTGGGCATTACAAAAATATGTAAATGATTACAAATATAGCTGTGTATGCAAATAGTGCACACTTGAAATATTGGTGCAGTACCAGAATATCAGTCTCATGGCTATAAAAGAGAACCATGAAGACAAATCCCAAACAGTGCATTTGTGTTTCTATATATTTTCAGGATAATTAGTATTGCTTTGGCAGAATATAAAAACATGCTTTGGTGCAAAATGAAACCTAATGGAGCAATTAATAAACTTTAACCCTATATTGCATGATTTTTTTTTCCTTGGAAAAAATATATATGTACTTGAATATAATGAAAAAGCATGAAAAAATGTTAAAAAAAATTAATTCTTAAATTTTCACTGTTTTTTAATTGAATATTAACTTGTTGCCAAATGGCAACAGCATGCAGTTGAACATAATAAGCAAAAAAATTAAACTGTGCCAAATAGCTTCACCATGCATTCAACAGAGAAAAATTATTTTAAATGATAGTCTCTAAAACAGTTTTTCTCTTTATAAAAACACAGAGGACCTAAGCATTTGGTGCACTGTAGTAAATCCTTTGCAATTCATCATTTTACACTGTTTTTATTTGTACCATTGTTTTGACCAATGATCAGTTCTGTCAGATATAATATCTCTCTCTTTTTCTATCTTGGAGGCTCTTTTGAGCAAGTTTTTTTTGCTTATTTTCCAATTAATTCCTCTGTGGCTTACAGTATCCCTCTTTTTAGAGATTTGTTTCTCCATGTAAGCACAAAGTTTGTGTTAACTGCAATCTAAAACTGATAAGTTCAGTATTGAATGCCTCTAAAACTGAACTTTTATTTGTGCACTCTCTTATACAACAACCAAGAATTGATAATTGTCAAATCTTGTAGATGGTAGAACAATTGAAAACATCACTTTTTGCTTCCCATGATTATTTTTACAAAAAATTTTTCTAATCAAACTATCAAGTAAGTCCACACCTTCCATGTGCTTGTTGTAAGTTGTTATAATGTGAGGACAGTTTATTTTCACATGATGCTTTTGTTTCCTGTCAAAGTGCTGTACATTAGGATTAAATGTAGGATCTTCTTCACTATTATCAAAATCTTCAGCTAATAAAGTTTTAAAAAAGAAATTAATTACTTCCAATCCTATCACAAAGACTCATAATTAAAACTGCATGAACAAAGAAAAGAAACAATCTAAAGAAAGAATTATACACAGAGCACATACTTTCTGAACTACAGTGCTGAACTGAAATGTTCGTTTCATCCTTGCTGCGTATTGTTGCCAAATATATATTATCGCCTGATTATTTTTTAATGTTGACTTTTACATAAAATACCTGTTAAATGGAAAATAAATGTTAATTTTACGCAGACAATTTTTTTAGTGTTCATACAAAAACATTTAATTGTAAATAGCAAGCTTCAAAATTTGGTCATTCAAGTGATTTGAAAAGTCTATCCCATGGTTTCATTTACTGTTACATTACAGGTAACTGTTCCCATCTATTGAGAATAAAAGGTGATAATTGAATTAAAGATGTCCGAAACTTGCTCTTGATGCACAGTGTTGTCTTATGGTTACATTTTGCTGGTCATTAAGAAGACAAATCAACTGTGTAGCCATTTGGCAACATAATGCAGTAATTAAGTGCAGTGTAGGGTTAAAAGAGAAAGAATTTTTGGATCAAGAGAATGTGAATTCTTATGCTATGAAATTGAGGCTGAGTTGGGTGATATGCCAATAAACTAATACATTTATAGAAACATTGAGTAGAAAAGAGTTTGATGCATCAACAAGAGGATGTAGAATATCTAGAGCTAGTGTGTCAGAATGGGAAGGTGCACTTAGAATACACAGCATTAGCTGATCATGATGCTCCTTAATTAGGTTTATTACAATTATAGAGGACAACCAGCATATTAAGCAATATCTGCCAGTCTTTTAGTTGACGATTGTTGCAGCAATAGGCTATAACTCAGCATCCTTAACTTCAGCTTGTATTGAATCTTCACCACAGATACCAATGACATTGCAATGGCGTATAAATGCTGGAATGCTGAATAGGCTCAAATAATCTTTTCTGATGGCTATTGGTGCAGTCAGTGGAATCATGATCGGATCTTCATTCTGTTGCAATAAATATCATTTCTAATGTTGCAGTCTTGGTACATGTTGAAGTAGGCAGGACATCAGAATTTTGTCATTGGTCAGGTATAATCCTGTTGCAGAATCTCATGACATTCCCAGCATAAGAATCATGATTCAAGATGATATCACATTTCATTCACACTCTTGCTTTAGAAAAATCACTGGCAGTATAACCAGTAAGCAGTATATAAGCAAGATCCTGGACCCAAGAACATTCTTGAAATTGTCTCTCAATAGGATACTGTCACATATGTCACACTCAGCATCCAGTAATTCTTAGGTGACCAACATGTAGAAATTTTTCTTTTTCCTGTGCAATCATATGATTTATTTTTTATTGAGCATGTAGGAGATAGGACTGCTCAGAGGTTATTTCATAAATCAGCACCTTCAGCTGCCACTGATGCATTATGAATGTGTATTGAATCTTTATAGTAGCATTTTTTGGACAATTCTTTATCGATTTGGTCTGTATCATCTTCAGTCTGTTGTAATCGATAAAGGTAGTTGCATACAGTGCTGAATTAGAATACCCTACAGGTTGAAAAGACACAGTAATGTATAAGTTGTGTTCATAGATAAAGTAACTGTAGAAATTCGTGAGTGGTTTCAGCAGCTTTGGAATTTGAGGAAAGAACCTGCCTTTCTTATGCCAGAAAAACTGCTGGAGATAAATAATCATGACTTCAATTTCAGCACTCATGCTGAATTCTTTTGACATACAGATTTGTCCTTTTGACTTTTCTACCCTACATATTACTACTGACATAAATATCTCTGTTGTAACTTATGTTCTTTTCATTTTTACTGCACTTTCAGTTATAGAGTCCCCTTTAAATAAGGAACAGAATTTTATAAAACAACATTGACATTCTGAGTAAGAAGAATTTTGTAATAAAGATCACTTTTTATATGGCAAAAGTAGAAATTTCATGGAATAAAATTTATATTTATGTTTTAATTATTTAATGAAAAGTCTGCCAGTCTATGCACAGTAATTAAGACACTCTGTGTGCTGTAGGATAAATAAGGTACTTTGAAGACCTAATTTAAACACACAAATAAAGATTTCCCTCTTCTCCCACTTTTTAAAAAATTTAGCCAACTTTTTAAACAAAGATTATAGAAAATCCTATTTCTATATTATCAAAATATTTAATCCATTGTTGTGTGAGGAAATGTGTAAAGTGGATTATGGCAGTGCTGGATGTCTATGGTCTGTTGCTTTGGAGGAGGGATGGCTTCAGTACGAAAAAAATATATATAAAGAGAAAATAAGTAATAATAAATTTTAAACAATTATGCTATTTTTAATAACTATCTAATAATATAGAATAACTTATAAATATTTTAGAAACTACAAAATAAAGGTCATCAAATTAATTTATATAGTAATAAAATATGTTTCAGTATTACATACCTGTATATGAAGTGCATGAGCTTTGTATATGATAACTTTTGATATAAATCAGATTCTAAAATATTATATTCTATGTTACTTGTTACAAAATTTGAAATAAAACTTATTCAAACTCCAAATACTGTTAAAAAATTAACAAACTATATGAAATACCTTTTATAGAATTTGAAGACTTAAAGAGTATATCAGATTATAAAATTAAATAAATTACTGAAATAATTGCTATAAATATACTTCAGTGATACTGATCTTGAAGAACAATACAAAGTGATGTGGTTTTCTTTAATGATGAAAAGGCAAAATTTGGGAAGCTTGAGCCCTACATACCAGTTAATAAAAAATATCATCATTTTATCTTCTTTTTCTAATATGGAAATACTAGCAGCTGCGCAGCTAACCTTTGTCTGGCCTTTAAATGTACCGGAAAAATGCCTAACGTGAACACCAAATGTTAAATTAAAAAACTGTGCAGAGTTTTACTTTGCAGAGCAACTTCATAAAATAAATAAATAAATAAATAAAATTTAAAAAAATGTATTACATATAACAAAATTACATTGAAATAAGCAATATCCCTTAATACAAATATTAATTATCCTAATGAATAAATTAACCAACAAACATTGCAAAATCTTAAGAATTCAAATGGTGTAAAGGAAGTTAAAGAACTTTGTTTCCTAAAAAAATAATGCAACACTTTTTGTATAATTAAAATTATATATAATTACAAAATAATATAAAAAATATTCAATAAATCTCATATTTTCAAGAGAGTAAATGAGCTTTTACTGTAATTTTATATATATTTCCTTATATCAGAAACTCATTTATTGTACAGTTATTATTGTATTAATGTTTGTATTAGCTATTATTAATAAAATTTTGATATGACATTTATTTGGGTTTTCATTCAAATCAACTTCTGTAAATGA